GTCCAAAAATTAAACCTTCTTCTGAATCAACCGACCATGAAATTAGGGTTTCTACCTTTAAATCGATTAGAATCAATACTATGCCGAACATAATCGAAGTAACATTTCATCTACGAAAACCCATGTATAAAAACTGTTAATTTAGCCCATAACTAATCCAATTTGCTCTCCATCGTCGAGGAAGAAGATAGAATCTTTTCAAAATCCGAGCCCGAATAATGAATACATACGAAACCGAGAGAGAGGAAGAGAGAATAACCCCAAGTCATCGACTTCGTTGTAATCTTCGTCAGCCATTAATGTCGATTTTAGGTTTCGCTTTCTCCTCTCCGCTCTCGATAAACCCTAACACCCGTTGCAGAATTCCGGACGACGGAGAATGAGTTAATAAATGAAGTTGAGAACTAAATATTGATATTCTCCGGTTTACTTAACTCGGCTTAGTAAACCCGTATTATCGAACCATTTAATTTCAAGCCCAATTTAAGGCCCACATAAGAAAACTCCACAACTGGATCAAATTTCTTTCTTTATTCCAAACTAGTATTACCACCCGTTCTACGAACGGGTACTGTTTGCTTTTACTAAAGTTATTTTTTAAATCAAAGTTAAATTTCTTTTTTAAAATAAAAATGTAATTTTGATAGAATTTATTTAAGTCGACTATAAATTTATCAAAAATTGTAAAAATATTAAGATAGATGTAAAAAAATGCAAACTCAAATCCTTTGGTTTTACTAATACCTTTTAAGACAACCTTTTTTGTTAACTAATGATAAAACACAAATAGTTGAATCGTACTAAGCATGAAACTGTAGACTAAATAAATACAAAATACATGATATTATATTTACAATCCATAAAAGTTTGGCAAGAAAACCATAGATTAGCTTTAGTAAAAATCATCAAGATAGATGGAACATCTTTGAGCTGGAAATACCTACATAGAAAAATAAATAATAATATAGAGTTTGAGTAAGATAAGTAATGATATATTGTATAACCTTATAAAAATTGTGTAGATGTGTTACCTTGAGTTTTACACATAAATATGTATCATATTCTCGGATGTACCTGGAGATTATCATAATTTAATGAAATTAGTACTACATACATAAATTATGCTAAAATATATTGTATAAGAAGATAAAAGACATTTAGTCTACGTCCTTTGTTAAGCATTATCAATCTTACCTCCCACAGAATTGAATTCAAAAATCCAGTTATAAGTTCTAATATCCTCTTTGAAATGAATACTTCTTCTGTCACTTGTGAACATAAGTTCAACCATGACTGGAGGCAACTTTTGAGTCGTGGATAAAAAAAGACTGCAAGACCTAATTACACATAAAACCATAAGCATAATCAATTACAACAATTTGGCTTATGACTTAAACTGATCTTAACGTACGTTAGATGGAACTAACCTAAAGTCATTGAGTTGTAGTTTCAAGATCTGACATGGATGTCTGGAAATGCTGAATTCTTTTCTATTGTTCATTGTCGTTATCTCACCTATCAAAAATAAAAAATTAGCAATCACACAAAAAAAAGAAGAATTTCATATAAATTTGTAGCATAGACACCACATAGGCACATGCCAATTTATTATAGAGGTTTTTAGCATATATATACCTCATGAAATCAAGTTTCAAACACAATAATACCTGCAGTTGACAAAACGATTTTGAAATTAAAAATTTAAAGTAACAACTAAATCTTAAAAAAAATTCCAGAAACTATGGAACTTAGAAGAAGTTTGTGTCAAAAGAAGACAATGGAAGCAGTCAATGGGAACAGAAATCACCTTTTGAGTATCAAAAGAAGAAAATGGAAGCAGTCAAAGGATGGATTGAATTAACAAACAATGAAATGGGAATTATTGACGGATCGGGTTGGACGGTGGAACATGAAGGTTGGTTCTGAGATCTGATCGAACACTGTTCTGTTCGTAAAACTAATTGCAACTTTTTTACAGATTTGATGGTGGCTTTTCGTAGGTGAGTTGATTATGATAATTGGTTGTGATATATATAGTTTGTGAAGATCAGTTGATGAAAGTGGGAAGTTCTTTTAAGGATCGTGAAAAACAAAGAATTGAGATCGTGGGATATTTTGATTTGAATCTGATCATGAATAAAGGTAAAGGAAGAGGAAATCGTGGTATGTGAGAGTGGATTTAGGGATTTATAAATTCTTAATTTTTTTTTTTCAAATGGCCTGATTTTTTTTTCCCACGATCCCATTTATTTTTGAATTGTTTTTATGTAAAATAAATTATGAAAAAGAATCCTATGTGTCAAAATTTTAGTGGTTAGGTGACTTGTGATTTATAAGATAAGGGATATACATGAGATATGTGATATACATTATTACTGATTATGTATGTTTTCAGAATTTTCTCATATACTGGTCTCATCTTTAGTTGGAGAAACGATCAAATAATCATAATCTTTTTCTCGAAAAGCAGCTCTCTCTCGAAGAATCTTTTGCCCCACGTACCTACACATAAGTAACACTCTCAAACAATCATATATAACTCGAAGAATCATATGATCATTTAGTATATATCAGCGTTTTACCTTCCGAGCATCATGACCGTTGCTTGTGGATTGGTCCCTGGAGACTTGAGAAATGTGGATCCATCGATGACCCTTAAGGCATCAATACCTAAGACTTTGTAATTCTTGTCAACCACTCTTCCAACTTGGCAACCTCCATGGTAATGCCAAATAGTCATCACAGTGTCTATGCAAAACTGCGTCAAGTTGGACTTCGAGGAGACGTGTTTTGGCCTTAGATTGATAGGAAGGCTAAGCGTGCGATTGAGTAGTCCGCGTACGGTCTCATTCGGGTACTTGTACTTCAAGAAGGCCTTCGATTTTATCACTTTAATAATGGTATTAAGTCCTTTAACACACCTTTCAAGATCTTCTGGTTCTTGGTAGTAATTGAATGTCACTGAAGGGTTCTCATCCGGGTTTTTGTTCCGGAGTTCTAGGTATCCTCTTGAGACTGGTCCATCGACTTTGTGGAAGATCAAGCCCGCATTTTCCATCATGTTCAATGGAAGATCCAAGGATTTGAAGAAGTCTACGATTGACTGGGTGGAGAGTGTCTGCATGCATAATGCGTTATTAATGATGACATATAGTCTCATGCAAGATTGAGTAATATAAGTTATAATAACGTTTTAATGTATTTAAAATTGTACCTCGTTGAGAATATTCAAATTACTATCTAAGAACCTACGGGTCAAGTTTTGAGAGAGGCTTAAGCCACTTCCACCTTCAATGAAATCATAAAACTTGGTGATACCAACGACCTCTACGAGGGACAGTTCTACAAGTTGAGGAGAAGGGACGAGGACAAGGTTCATTGGATTATCTCCCATCCCTTGCCCAACCATGGGTTGATCGATGACCGGATCGACCCCATGGGCCTCAAGATGGGACTTAGGACCCACACCACTCAGCATCAGTAGCTGCGGGCTCCCGATGGCGCCCGCACACAAAATCACCTCGCTCATTGCGTTTTTCGCCAGTTTTACCTTGTGAAACACTCCATTTGCGTCTTGATATATAACTCCACACGCCTTAGGCCTCGATCTTCCTGTCCAAAAAAGAGTATTCATATCCAAAGTATATATAGAAAATTAGAAATAATGAAAAACAAAATGTGTATATAAAATTATGAATTAATCAAATTACCTTTAGTGGTGAAGAGGATTTTGTGAACAAGAGCGTGCAAGTAAACAACAATCGTGTCCGGGTTAGCATACTCTAACAGATTTGCAGCCGAATGTCTATGGCCCGCGGGGTCAAAGATTGTACCGCCAATCTTAGTCCCAACGATATGATCGAACGTGAAACCATTGTATGGAACCACCCCAGCTTCCAAAAGCCCATCTCTCAATGCCGATTGCCATCCCATCACTAGTGGCTTGAACACAAGTTTCTTCTCGACCCACTCGTAAGCAGCTTCCACTTCCTCCATCTCCCACTCAGACTTCTCCACATAATAATCCTCCGCACGTGAGTAAAACCCAGCGTTCAACACCGAGTCTCCACCGAGGACGCGCGCACGATGGTTATAAACGCCGTCCTCGGATATGAAAAGCTGCGACCACGCTTTTGGTGTGGTGTTTAAGAGTGTGTTGGCGAATTTTTCGATATCCGTAGCGGCAGGATATCATAGGGAGAGCCGCA